AAAAAAATCCTCTGATTTTGCGATGCGTCTTTTGGGAAAATTTGAAACTGCCTGGAAATGAATGTGGTACTTGCAGCTAAAAATGATAACTAGAACTAGAGAAGTCGGAACACTGGGCAGTCAGTGGCTGTTTATCCAGAATCACGCCAAAAAATTTTCCAGAATAGCTTTAGCCGGTTTTGTTTTGTAATGGAAGATGAGGTGTAGTAGAACCTGTATGGACTGTACATCCGCCTCACGATCAACCTCCAGTATTTTCTTGTCGTTGATATTATAATCATCTAACAGCTGCTTCATCTGCGTGCTAAATTTGCAGTAACTTTTCGAGAAAAGCATCACTTTATGGCTTCGAATCATTTTATCCACATTCCGCTCCACGCCGTATTGATAGCTTCCACTGACTATAATATTCAACCTCATCTGCATCTGGAACCTGTATGAATTAAAACTGTCGAATGTTCCTCTGGTATTGACAAAATCAGACGATTTCCGACAATTCTCATTATTTCACTGTTGCTAGTTTTTGTACAGCTTTTCTAAGCAACCAATCCTCACTTTAAAAGGATTCCTTCAGTTTACTAGCGCACCAAGATTTTGAAAGCTTTCTTGCTCTGTTTATAATCTGCAATTTGAAATGTTCTGGAGTTCAGAAAACTTCAAATTTCAGAGTAGTTCTAAAAAGCAGTTTCTTAAAAAAATGGTCAAAAAATCGCTGCTCGAAATTTGATAGTTCGATTAAGAGGTGAAATTTTCAGACCGCAGCTCAGAAATTCATCCTTGAGTCATTAAAAAAGATTATGAACTTTGAGTGAAACAGCTACAGAGAATGCTGGAAAGGAGTAATTCTTGACGAGGTTTGAATATGAATTTGCTAGAAAAAATGACTTAATTGCCTCTTCGATGTTAAAAGCGCAGAAAATCTTACCACAATCAGGAGTGCAGATATGGAAAAATGCAAATTGATCATGAATTTCTCGGCAGGGCTTATGCGTACAATGAAATCACTGGCAATAAAACCTGAAGACACTAGCAGATTTGCCAAATATTTCTTAGATCCACGATTGAAACTGAGGTGCTGTTTGTGTTCCGGCTGATAAGAAACTATCATTGACATTGATAATCAGATAAGAGGCTTCTAGGGATTCATCGTTGGCTCAAAACAGCTGGACGAATGGCATCCAGTAAACTAATTTTTCATTTTATTGATGTTGAATGAATTTTAAGCATGTGTTTTTTCCAGATATCACTGAAAGTTTACCTTTTCCTCGGCTCCCTTTTTTGAGCAAAAAGTGAATTTGGGACCCTCGCAAAAGAGTCTGAAACAGGGCTGAGAGCTTGTTAGGGAATGAGGCAAAAAAGAAAGAAATGAAAACCAGACAGTAATCTCCGCTCGAAACACACCAG